TGATGGTGCTTTCGTTTTGTACGGAAAAAGTTTAGCTTCTATTTGCCTTCTACGCGCAGATATTGAGAAGAGGGCAATGAGAAGGCAACTTTTTTTGTAGAAACGAAAGCGCCATTAGTGTTATTTCGCGGAAGTTGCTAAATGCAATCGGCAACTGCCAGTAATTTCAATGCTTTCCACCGTTTTCCAGAAACCTTGACATTGAATTCCTAGAATTTTACTTGAAAGCTAACTTTTTGAATAAATCAGCGAAATGCGATATTGCAGTGGTTTTATTACCGAGCGCACTTCCACAAAGGTATTATAACTTGGTTCGCATAACGGTTGTTTGTAACAGCCTAAAGGATTTGAGATAGATATAGACAAATGTATACATAAGTGATCAGAATGTAAAGAGAAGTCGATTGAGCCATGTCTGTCTGTCCGTCCGTCCATTCGTCCGTCTGTCTGTGTACACGAAAACTCGGTGAAAATTTAGATATCTCAACGAAATTTGGTACGAAAGTTTCCCTTTATCCAAGGTATGTAGGTTGCTATTGAGCATCGGGTGAAATCGGACTATAACCACGCCCATGTTGTAATTTCATTATTATTGCACACCTACTGCTCAAGCTCCTTATTTGATATCTCAACTTCGAAAGAATCGTTTAGATCTGATAAGCTTCACAAAAACTGCTCTTGCAAATTATATATATTTGTGAAGTTGGCAACTCTAATCAAAATTATTTTCCAATTAAAGCTTTCCTAGATCTGCTTCAGTTGAACCCATATTTTAATACTTTTCAAACCTGTGGCAACTCTCTTCAAAAGAATTTTGAAAGTAAAAAGTTCTTAAATGTCTTTCATTTGACATTGTAAGGCAATTTAAATTTACCGATAATTTAACTTGAATTCTATTTCCAAAATAGTGGCAACTCTTCTAAATATAGTACACAAATAAAGTCTTTCCAAACACATTTCGATTGATCCCCATATTTTAATAATTTATTTAACCTATTACATACTCGTACGTATTTTGAACTTAACTTTCAAAACTGATGGTAACCCTCTTTGAATGCCTTTTAAATATTCTAAATGTACAAACAAACATTTTTTACCACTCTTCCGCTTTCCACCCACATTTCTTATTAAAGAGATGGCAGTTCTTTTCAAACTTATACTTCCTTAAACGTCTTTCGTCTGACACCCATATTCATGTGACTATTTAAATTACCTTAACTCAAATTGAATCTGATTTTCTAAACATGTGGTAACCCTCCTAAATGTAGTTCTTAAAAAAAACCTTTCCATTTAATTTATTAAGGTACTTGAATTTAACTTTTTTAACATGTGGCAACCCTCTTCAAGCACCTCAAAACTATTTTCAACTACACAACTAAAGAATTCTTAACACTCATTCGTTTGACATCCATATTTAAATTTCCCACAAAAAATATATATAAGTTCATTAAATTCGACTCCGTCAACAGGTGGCAACCATCTTCAAAAGTAATTTCAACGTAAAACTTTTATAAAGCTCCGGCGACTGACATTGTGCTACATACTTCAATTAGCCGATGAATTTTTAAATTTCTTTTTTAAACATGTGGCAACCCCCTAAAATTTATTTATTATTATTCGTTCAACATTTTAACTAACTTTTCATAAACCGCAAAAATATTCTAAGTGTTCAAGCTAAAGATTTCTTCACACTCCTTGTTTGTTTGTTTGTAACTCGTATTATATATTTTTTCAGACTAAAACCTGCTTAAATTTCGTTCGTCCGACATTTAAATAGTGATAAATTACCCAATTGCCTTAAGTTAAGCTGAACTTAATTTTTTAAACAGGTGGCAACTCTCCTACACGTAGTTAAGAAATAAGGTCTTTTCAAGACCATTTCGATTGAGACTCATTTTACAATTATAGATTTAACTTCTTAAATAATTTTAGTTAATTTTATTGAAAGTTGGCAACCCCTTTCGAAAACTTAGCTGCTCTAGTTATGTATGTATGTTTGTAAATAACATGGGGATGTCAATGGCACTAATCAATTTATACCTACTAGATTACCATTCAAAAGCTATATCAGCTACCATTACCAGTGAGGACCTAGTGAATTCACCAGACTTACCAGATTACCAGTAATGCTGTTCATCAGTTTAGAATATGATGGACCAGTGAATTCACCGGCTACCTTTCACGAGTTAAATCGCCATGAAATTAAAATGGACTAGTTGGTATCGACCGTACCAGACGGAAAATTTTCACTTTTAAAAAATAGACGTTGACTTTACTATAGGAAGCATATGTGTTTATGTACATTTTTATATATTTATATATATTATGGTGTTCAAAAATACATATAGGAAAATAGATTTTTTTTTTAAATTTTCCTGCTGCCTCTCACAATTGAAGAATATCAAAAACAAGGGGACACGTATTTTTATTTTCAACTCGGTTAATATTTACTCGTGCCGCCGGGGCTTTGCACTTACCCAAGTATTTTACATGGGGAAAAACATGTTTATTTATTTGTACCAATTTGTATTTGCGCAATGACATGTGGCAATTTTGGCCGATCCCAATAAAGCTCGCTAGTTGTTTTTCTTTTGTCCCAACTAACGCCGATTGGAAATACCATATTGTCTTTCCATCAAAGAGGAGGTTTTCCTCTTCCTCTGCTACCAGCATTTTAATTCACGCTAAACCTATGCTTTCAGTACTGGAATGTTTATATCCACTCATATGACAAGGCCGAGCCATTTACATTAGCGCCGGTCGGTTTGTTCTAAAAAAATATAACCGACCTTATTTCGGTGAGTGAAGTATTCTACTGGAAATTCTGAATAAAAAGTCAATGGAAGCATACGTAGCTCTAACATAGATTTCGAGCATGCTTATTTTTAATTTTAGTAATTGATTTGGTAAAATTTGTTTTCTTTTTTTTTTTTTTTTTGGTAGTAAGTTTATGTATGTGGATTTCGCTTATGAGCAATTGGACGAATTTTTTAAAGGAAAAAATTATCTCTATCCGTCTATTCCGTATCTATTAGTTTCGACTATTAGGTAATTGTGCAATTATAAGACTTTCAGGATTAATTATTTTTGGTGTTCAAAAAATGACTACAAGTGACATTCAGGCCCAGTTCCAGTGTTAATTTAAGCATAAGTGAAAGATAAAGCTCTACTTGAAAACGACCCTTAATTGAATTAAATTTTTCGAACAGGTTACAAACCGCTTAAAAGAATATTTAGAAACCAAGCTTTCTCAAAATACTTTAGTTTGACACCCATATTGTAAAAATTAATTTGATTTCATTGATTTCAAATCTTCAAACAGGTGGCATCCCTTTTTAGTAATATTTTCCAAATTAAACTTTCTAAACCACTTTATTTTGGCACCCACATTGCAACATTTCATTTACGTTATCAATTTAATTGCATTAAATTTATTAAACAGGTGGCAACACTTTTCAAAAATGTTGCGGAAATTAATCTTTCTTAGCTACTTTAGTTTGATACCCACATTGTAATAATGTTATTTATCTCATCAATTTAATTGAATTGAAGAGCGGTTAAAAAAATAAATCGGTTATGGATTAATAACTAAAATTAAAAATAAGGAGGCTCGAAATCCATTTTAGAGCTATGCTTCCCAGGCTTTTTTTGTTCAGAATTGTTGGAGAGAAAGTAGAAAAAATGACCCGCCCTAATGTACAGATTTAAGTATGTATATTTTTGTAAAGGTTAAGCTGGGAAACGGTTTTAAGAACATAATTTATAAATATGTACTTTAACAGCGGATTTAGCCGATGAAGTGATAAAATCAGCAAAGCCAGCATTATTTTAAGTAAATGTGCTGTTATAACAAGACAACTCAATAAGATTACTTTACGAATTTCTACCCCTTCCGAACACGAGGGCATACAAAAAATGAATTCCTAATGCTCTTGTACAGAAGAAATAAGTGTAAATGTAGTAACTGTAGCACACATACTGCAGATATTCAAAGCGTTTTCTAAATAAATATCGCTAACAACAATAAAATGCAATGGGACGGAAAGGCTTTTCCTCCACACTTACATATTTACATAAGTACTTAAAATTATCTCATGCGAATGGAAGTAGCGTAGATAAACAAAAATTATGCTACGGTCAATAATTTTACGAGCAACTTGACAAATTATACACAGAAGCAAGCAAAACAGCTCGAGGGAATGAGAATGAATGAGGCAACAACAAAAATGCAAAAGAAGTTAGTGGAGCGGCTAGGAGGTTTCTACTCGACAAATATGTAGGTATATGATCCGGTTAATTATAATAAAATGAAATTGAAAATAGTTTTCTTTGGGAGAGTTTGTGTCGGTTAATTAACAAAGGGATTAAGTCAGCATTTTTTTCCAAATATCAATTTTGATGCAATTTGGTTCTTTGAAAGTAACGGGTGATTTTTTTGAGGTTAGGATTTTCATGCATTA